GCAACGCAACGCGTAAAAATACAGTATAAGTCATTATAATCTGTAATTATGTCCCCACTGGATGCAACAAATGCTTCGTTTGTAATGGGTTTTAATGTTTTTGTCTCGCCGCTCCGGCCGGGACACGGCATCGACAGTATGGTGAGGGGCGTAACATTTCCGTCACATGCTTGATGTATTCGGCCAATCACAACGCACTGGATAGTTGGCCAATCAGAGCACACCTCGCTTTTCAGACCGATGAGCTTTGTAAAAATCGACGCGTTTCAAAAAGGCGGGGCATAGAGGAGAAACAATAATGTACAGTATGTGGAAAATAATGTGTTTTTTTAACTTTAAACCGCATAAACACATTTCATTACACCAAATACACAAAATAATGTTCTTTTTAGCAGCATCATATGACCCCTTTAAGTGTCAACGTGGTCACTGCTAAAATTCACAAATAACAACAAACAAGTCATTGTACTTAAGTAAGAGTATAGAGCGATGAAATACATGTCAGATTTTTAACTGAATTATGGTATGTTTGCACCATCAACCTGACTACACTCTCAGAAAAATTGTGCAAAAAACCAGCTTGTCAGCAGGGCAGTACTCTTCAAAGGATATCTTTGTACCTTATGTACCCCTAAAAGGTTCAAAGAAATACTTAAGGGTGTATTACTACTCTAACCCTCTGATGCATCGTGGTCACTACAGTGGGCAGCTATTTGGAAGCCATTTTGAACCATTTAAGATGTAGCATCATGTCCCAACCACCAACTGGCGAACCCCCAAAGTGTTGTCTACGATTCCATTTAATTGTTGTCTTTTTATCAATTTTTTTGTTTTGAGATATTGCATAATATATTCAAAATGGCAGCAGGAAAAGGGGATGCACCATGTACCTCGGCAATAAGTGTTAAATAATTTTATTCTCAGAAAACCAGACAGGTACAAAAAATATTTTTCAGTTAAATAGGATGTCAGAAATAGTTTCATCCAGATTTTAACAATATTTTTCTTGTAAATTTTTTGCTGTGACAGAGAATAAACCTGTCCACTACAGTAGACGTCATGCACCAAAGGGTATAATTCTGCCTATGGGCCTAGATATAGGTTGTGCCTTATTTTGTATGTTTTATTAAAATTATGATATAATTTACACTTGAATTGTTTTATTGAACAGAAATATTAAATAGTCTTCAGATTTTATCATTTATTTCAATGCTTACAGTCTATATTTATTTATTAGGTCATATAAAACTGTAGGCATGCATACATGTATACTGTATGAGTGCAGATATATGTGTGCATGATTGCGTTCGAATGTGTGGTGGGAGGGTGTGTGTGCTTGTGTGTGTTTGCATTTGTGCTCACATGTGTATGAATAGCCCACCACCCCCACCACCAACCCACACTTCCCCACACAGCCCCACACACCCCTGGCCCATAGACACACACTCTTACGTTTTGTTTGTTACACCATGTAAAAAAAATATTACTTTGTGATTTAATCATTCATTCATCAGAGGGCTAAGGTACTAATATACCCATTTTAGGGGTAGATAAAGTATACAGTAGTTGTTCCTTTAAGGCTACTACCCCAGTATCAAGCTGTTGTACCCCTGAAGATACAATTTCAGCAAATTTTTTCTGACAGCATACCACTGTGAGTACTAGCGGTAGCTGTTTGCCACAGTAGCTAGGTAAAGGTTTAAGAGAACCCATTGCCTTATTGAAGCATTTCATCTTCACCACCATATCTCAAACAGAATGGTACTTGCGCTTATCTGTCGCAGATGCATAATAACAGATGAGAAGAATGCAATATGCTCTCCAAAGGCCGAGACAAGCAGCTACATAATGCACAATAATGAGTGCAAGATGATTATGTGTCATCAATAGTTTAGTGAGTTTGGTTTCATTCCAATTGGAAACTGCACTAAAGGTCACATGAACCATACCTAGATTTTATAATCATCACAATCATAACAAACTGAACTGAAGTCAAATGGACATGGGTCCGCACCAAAAGCTCTAGTGTGAAGCTGGCCTTCATTGCAAACTTGGGTATGTTCTGAGCCCAGATGTTGTTAAGATCTCTTCTAAATACACATTAGATTACTGGGGTCTTTTTCTCAGGAGAAATATTTGAGAAGCAGGAGACTTTAGCCAAAGTCTCAACTTACACTCTGTTTGATCTCTGTGCTGTTTAGGAGAAACAATCAAGATTAAAAAAAAGAGGAAGCCAAATGACACATCTCTTCTCTTGTTGAACGATTCACTCTTTTCAATGGAAGCCTTTTTAACAGAGGAGATGAGATGAGTCTACTTTCAGTGTTTAAATATATTCTGGACCAGAGAACACAGAAACCACACTTTTTTCTAAAAGAGGTTTGACACGTACACATGCATTAGCATCACCAGTCACACGCCAACTAAAAAAAAAAAAAGTAATGTGACAGTTTTGTTATCCAACAACAAATAATAGAATGGAAATAGAAAATAAAAAATAGAAAATAGAATTGGAAGGTTATGAAAACTTAATGTAAAAGCACCCCGGGTTGCACACTAGCAAAATCAATATGTGTCAAAATGTCAGAGTCCTCTCACATTCTCACCAACTGTAGCATTTACCGCTGTGTCGATAAGAGGAAGTTGCATTTGAGGGTTTGAGGTCTTACCAACAGCAAATGCAGAAGACCATCTAGTTTGTAAGCAAAACACATAATCAGATCACAACTGAAAAACCTCATGAACATGTATTCAGGTCGTGTGATGAGTGTTGCATCACCTTTCTGAATTCTAGATGGAGCGAGATGCTTCACCTACAGGTTAGGGGTGTGCGATTTCAAAATTTTTGATCATGGATGATTAAAATGTCTCCACGATCTGCTTTTGAAGAAATATCGTAGTAACGTGCTACAGCACACATTCTATCAGTTGCAATTCTGGCACCTCTGTTTCAATATACTGTGCTACACGACATACATTCACATCAAATGTTAATGCAGAAGTAGAGTTACACTCCGGGGACACTGTACTTATTCGCAATCACAAAAGTACATTATTTGCATGTGCTTTAAAGCCTTGCCGGTCAAATATTTCATTCGCGTGCTGTTCTGACATGTGCTTTTTCTAAGTGTGTACACCTCAAGTGTGTACACACTAAAAAGCCTGTCAGAAAGCACCTGATTACTGGACTAAGTTATCTTTCATGTCTGATTGCGCTAACTCACAAGGTTTACATAAACACAGTTAGTTATGTATACAGGAAAGTAAACAGTTGAGAGAAAATTGGATGCGTGCAGGTCTTAAAATGACCCCAGACTAATAATACTAAACATGTTGCCGCATGTCATTAAAGGGATAGTTCACCCATTTTGTCACTATTTACTCACTCTCATGTTGTCTCAAACCTGTATTAATTTCTTGTGCTGAACACAAAAGAAGATATTTTGAAGAATGTGGGTAAAAATCATTTTATTGCTGGTCCACATTGACTTTGATAGTAGGAAAAAATACTATGGAAGTAACTGGGGACCAGCAACTGTGTGGTTACCCACATTCTTCAAAATAACTTGTGTTCAACAAAAAAAAGAAACTCATTCAAGTTTAAAACAACTTGAGAGTGAGTTAATGATAACAGAATTTTCATTTTTGGGTGAACAATCCCTTTAATTTTAATAATACAACAAAGCACAAAGAGAAAAATCACTCACTGCTCTTGACTGAAAAACTTTAATACAGTTCCTTTAATAAGAATCGATGTATAATTTATACAGTGAAGTATAGCGTTTTATTTTTATATTTGTTCATTCAATTTCTTGAGTGCTACTGCTAAATACACCTGCTGTACCTGAAAAATAAAGCAGTTATTATCGTGTATTTGTAATGTGTATCTTTGTTCATATTTTTCAATAACAAAGATAAAATAATGACAAAGATGTTTTTTATCCTCACCCTGTCAGGATCCTGCCCTGACAGTCTTGTCTGTCTGTCCTGTCTTTGTTTAATGTGTCTTTGTTTATGTTGTGCCTGAGCACATGGCTGTGTCTTTGTTTGTGTTGGCCATGTGCTCCTCTTGTCCTGCCTCCTCATTTTCAATCGCCACGCCCCCTTGTTTAGTCCTTGTTTGTCCAATTGTGTTCACCTGATCCTTGTGTGCTCTGATCCCTTTATATTGTGCTCATTTCCTGCTGGTTCGTTTTGTGTGAGCTTCATGTGCATTCTCCTTGCTTGTATCTTGTTGGAGTTTGCCTTTCAGTGTTTTGCATTGTCTGGTTTTGTTTTTTCCCTCCTGTTAAATTCTAGTTTTTATTTGTTCCTGAGTTTAGTTAATAGCCTAGTTCTAGTCTTGTGGTTTAGTTCTTTATTTTTTAGTTCTTAAACTTTTGATTAGTTCTAGTAATTTAATCTCAGCTTTTTCCCTTTTGTTATCCTTTGTTTTCATAAGTCTCAGTTAAATATTTCTAGAACTTATTTTATTACTTTTCCCCCTTTGTTTTATTTCTTGTTTATCCTCCCTAGTCTTTGTTTTGCAAGTTCTTTCTTTTGATCGGTGTTTATCTCTTGTCTCCCCTGTTGCCTTGTCTGTGTGTTTGTCGAGTTGGTTCCTGCCCTGCTTCCTGAGTCCTCCCTGGTCGATGTGAAGAGTCTTCTGACCTGTCAGGCATTTTTGTGCTTCATGTGTTACCATCTTCTAGGCCTAGCCTGTGGTTCCTTGAGGCGCTACCTAGTCTCCTTTTGCCTCGGAGTCAGGAGCTACCCCATCCCCGACCTGCCTGTTCTCCTGACGTGTGCTCTGGCCCATTGTGTGGACTGTCTTCCTGCCTCGTCCTCTTGTGTTTCCATTTTGTTAATAAACTCCGTTTCCCCTGTTCATTCTGCGTTTGGGTCCTCCCTTGACAAACCGTGACAGAACGAACCAGCCACTCAAGGACCCAGCAGAATGAGCATTAAAATTGTTCCAACTGCCACTGCAGAAGGGAGATTGGCACTCCAACAGACACTGGCATCGCTTCGTCAGCAGGACCAGGAACCACGGTCCTTTGCCCAATTCTTTTGGACCATGGCTAGGGGCCTCGAATATGATGATGCAGCCCTGAAGGAGGCCTTCAACCTCACTCTGGATGGCCCCTTACCGTGATGGGAGATGGAGCAACTGCATGTTTTGAATTTCTGGGACTTCTCTAATTATGTGCATCACCGCAAGGACTGGCAGATCCTTAACCCTCCTGAGGATGTCAGCAGTGACCACCCTGCCCTCCTTCCCTCTTCGAGTCAAGTCCACGATCATCTTCTGACTCCCACTGAGAAACGAAGGGACAGAAGAAAGAGGGGGGCCCGAGTTGCTGCATCTGCCATTGAGTCCTCGGTGCCGGCTCCAGCCTCTGAGAGCAGTTCAATGCCGGCTCCTGCCTCTGAATCGGCTGAACCCACCGCAGTCACGCCTGAGTCAACCACGTCCTCTGAAGCAGTCAAGCTCAAGGTAGCTTCGAGAGAAGTTTCCCAGTCATCCTCTGTTCCTGTGTCTGTCAAGTCTGTCCCAGTTAAGTCAAAGCCAGTCATGTCCAGTCTTGATACTCCTGTGTTTGTCAATCCAAGTCACTCAAGAAGTGGGCAATCCGACAACTTCCTGCCCCGGGAGGCGTAAGGGTAGGAGGGCCCGTGCCAGGAGGGCTAGGACCCTTTGTTCAGATACCCCTCATGCACTTATCCTGGAGGATCTCAAGTTGCCTGCTGCTTCTGTCATGGCCATGGAGGCCAGTTCTGAGCAGCTCATCCTCAATATTACGACCACAGAGGTCAATCCTGAACAGCCTGGCCTTTCTGCTATGACCATGGAGTCCAGTCTTGAGGAGACCGCTCTCCCCGTCACTGTCACAGAGGCCAGTCCTGAGCAGCCCGCTCTCCCTGTCACAGTCACTCATGTCAGGCCTGAGCAGTCCTCTCCTGTCACGAGCATGGAGACCACTCCTAAGCAGCCCACTATCCCTGTCATATCTATGGAGGCCGTTCTCAAGCCGTCAGTCCCCACTGGCACGGAGTATGTTTCAGCCCTGGAGCCTCCAGTATCCGCTCGAGCCCCTGACCAGAGTCTACTGTTGGCTCTAGGTCTAGAGTCTGCTCCATCCCAGTCCTGCCCAGAGTCTGCCTCATCCCAGTTCAGTCCAAAGTCTGTTCCAGAGCCTGTATCAGAGTCTGCTCCAGTCTTCCAAGAATCAGTTCATGAGTCTGTTCCTGCAGCCCCAGAGGGCAGTCCAGCAGCCCCAAAGGGCACTCAAGAATCAGTCCCTGGGTCTGTTCCTGCAGCCCCCGAGGGCAGTCAAGAGCCAGTTTCCGGGTCAGTCTTGGTAGCCCCAGAGGGCAGTTCTGCAGCCCCCAGTGGCAGCCAAGAGTCAGTTCCTGAGTCTATTCCTGCGGCCAAGGAGGGCATTTCAGCAGCCCCCAAGGGCGTTTCAGAGTCAATATTTGAACCTGGACCAGAGATCCCTAAGGGCATCCCTGTTACAGCCACAGTGCCCACTCCAGACTCCGCTCCAGTTATAGAAGCTGTCCCTGTCAGTCTTGTCACATCCTCAGAGGCCAATCCTGAAAATCTTGATAGTCATGTAAAGCCCACCGAAAATAATCCTGTCTGTCATGCTGTACCCTCGGAGACTGTCCATGTTCTGGTCAAGGAGGCTGTTCCAGAGAGCCCTAATCTGCTCATTGAAGCCACCTCAGAATCCCTTGACAGTCATGTCTTGCCTACCAAGAATATCCGGGAATCCGCCCAAATACCCAGTCCAGTAGGAAGCCCTCGCCTGTAAAACGTGTCCCTGTTAGGAGAGGTGCCACCAATGGTGCCCCCACCTTTATCCCACCCTCTGTCTGTCCCAGTCCGCAAGGGTTCCCAAAGCCGGCACCACCCTGGTCAGTCCTAAACCATTCCCCTGGAACATTTTCCGCCCTCCCTATCAGGGGGTGGCCCTGTATTTCTTGACAGGCCTGGACTTCCATGGGTCTCTACCCACCCGTCCCCCCAGTCGGTACCATTTTGGCCCCCTACCAACCCTGTGCCCCCTTTGACTCCTCCACCCAGGATGGACGCCTGGAGGCGTCCTTTGGAGGGGGGGTACTGTCAGGATCCTGCCTTGACAGTCTTGTCTGTCCTGTCTTTGTTTAATGTGTCTTTGTTTATTTTGTGCCTGAGCACATGGCTGTGTCTTTGTTTGTGTTGGCCATGTGCTCCTCTTGACCTGCCTCCTCATTTTCAATCACCCTTGTTTAGTCCTTGTTTGTCCAATTGTGTTCACCTGATCCTCGTGTGCTCTGATCCCTTTATATTGTGCTCATTTCCCTCTGGTCTTTGCTGGTTCGTTTTGTGTGAGCTTCATGTGCATTCTCCTTGCTTGTATCTTGTTGGAGTTTGCCTTTCAGTGGCAAGATCAGTCTATAGAACTCATTATAATCAGTGATGCTGTCTACACTGGATGCGGTGCGGCGCCACACGACACCCGACAGTAAACTGCTGCCGCGTTCTATTTATGATGTGCTGACACAAATTTCAAATGATTTTCAACGGTCGCTTTGTCGCGTCCAGTCAGTGTAGACAGACTTTAGCTGACAGTTGTCCTGTCGCGTCCGGTGTAGACACGGTGTAATGGTTGCCTGTTACATTACAGTACATAAAATTTCACTTACCACATAAACAGAGTAAGGAGAGATGACTGAGGACGATGGCAAATGATTTGCAGATCCTCAGTACCACTGACAATCATATAATCTTGTCAAATGTGTGGCAAGTACTGCCGCTCCATAGTATAAACAGAGTACATACGATCGGGAATCTCAAAAGTGAAAGTGAAACTAAAAGCGATCGTGCATTCAAAAGCATGATGCCAGTTTCAATGCCACGTATAATAGTGGCTCCCTGATGCTGAAATATATATGTAGTATAATTACCCAATTATATAACTGTGAGGAAAATATTGAAATATATATTTTCCTCCCATCTCATATTTATTTCTTTTAGGGGTTCCGCCTACACGTCATTTTCTTTCCGAACACGGTATTGGGATGCGGGGGGAATGTGGGGGGGGGATCACGATGCCGGCTCAACATCGTGATGTCTATCAGCCATCAGCGATGGACGATGGCATCATCTATCGGCCCAACCCTAATGGCTACTGAAAATGTAATTAATTTTTTTTTTTTATATTTAGATATAAACAGTTATTTTAAACTGTAATATTTCACAATATTTTAATTGTATTTATTAAATATTTTTGAGCAACCTTGATGAACATGAGACTTCTTTTAAAAACAAAACAAACAAGCAAAAAACGTACAACCCCAAAAACGGTTAAAACGGTTCCCAACTCCTGATCTAAATGAAGGACTCTCATTAATGACCTGTTATCACTTGTGACTGAGATGATAATGGGTTCAGAAGCTCCATGACTGCTATTACCTCTTGCATGAAACATCACACCAGTGAGAGAAGCTCGTGCCATCTCAACTGCCTGCTGATTTATGATGATGCGTGACTCGCCAGAGTGGTAGCTGGTGCGCTGACACAACAGATGAGCAAACATCCAGCTGTCAGCTCTCCCAGAAAACACAAAGACATGTCAAACACACTACAGGCCGTTCAAATATACTTACAGCCCTAATATCCGCTATACCACATTAGGGATGTAACGATTACCGGTTTGACGATAAATCATGATAAAATTCCCCACGGTTAGTATTACCGTTTCATCTTTTAATTATCATTAAAACAGTATTAGATTACCGCGATTTGAACAACTCGCGAT